TAATCCGTATTGATCAAAAATTGATGAAAGTTATTATCAAGGAAGTAGATTTATGAAATGCTGATATTCTTTTATCATTTACTTCATGCTATTATAGATGCTAATTAGATATTATTATAAACACTACTAATTAATCACTTTTGTCTAAATCTCTAAGCAAGCAGACGATTCCAAGATCCTATTTTTATACTTCAACAATTTTCATACTTTTTATATTTTTTATATTTTAATAATTCTATTTTCATACTTTAACACATTATTTGTTTATTTTATCATACGATAATATAACAATGATGTCTAATTTTATTCTTTGATCAGAAAAGTCGAAAATATTTCATTCCTACTAATTATCATTTACCTATTAATCATTAGAAGTAACATTTAATTTCGATTTCAACTAGCTATGTCAAATATGAGTCACATTTCTGTAACATTATTCTATGCTATCTCCTTCGTTATCATTCTATTAGTTATTTTAATAATTTATAGCGAGGAAACTTTATGCCTAGTTAAATCAAACACTATTCTGTTTCACTTTTCAAATTTTAATAATTCACAAAATTTATTTCTTTTTGGAAACGTTATCATTAATACTTGTGTGAAACTTCCTACCACATTTTACGATAAATTATACCTACATTCTACAGTTATCGCCATTAGCTTAATTAGCAATTTCAATCTTTTTAATGAATGCTTTTAGCTTTCATTCTCATCTAAATTCAACTTTTTTCCATTTGTTGTAAAAACATGAATATGTTTGTAAATTTTTTACCTGATTTTGACATGGACATTGTCATCATTTTGCCGTTTCAATATATATTGAAAATTTTAAAAAGAAAAACTTTTTTTAAAAAAGAAATGACGGCACCAAAAAGGATTATTTATTTGGAAACAATTCACGTATAACTTTTTGTAATAAACAATCCTGATATTTGATTTGACAAATACATGATATTCTATTGTAATGGAATATTGGATGAAGCAGAATTAATCTAACTCTATTAATCTTAATCTAATATGGCTAAGAAAAATGTAGGCTCTAGGCAATTTATATTCTTTTCAAAGTAATACATACATTAGCTTGGCTATAAAGAGCACGAAAGAATAGACATTCATTGTTGAAAAAAAAGAATAAAATTAAATATTTCAGTATAAAAGAAATTGTGATTAATTTAAGGATAAATCATGAGAATATAAGTAAATTTGGAATTTTATTTAATAAAATTATATAGAATTTAGGCAAGGAATAACTCTTTGTAAAAAAAATAAACAGATAAATATAATTTGAAATGATAAATGGTTATGCCTAAAATGATTCAACAACAGAAATATAATTCAATTAATTTAATTTCTTATTAACAGAATTTGCACCTATTTCTACCTATTTATTTCTATTATAACTAACTCTTTTGATATGTTATATTTATATTTTGTATTATATTTTTTTTAGTTCGAAATTTAGCATTGCATGAAAATAAATTGTATAATGTGAAAGAATTTCAGATATGGAAGAATTAAACATAATAAATGTACTGAATTACTTATTTTATTGTATTGTGATAAATAATATTGAGCGAAATATATAAAAATACACAAATTATTGATTTCCTGTTATAATTGCGTAAAATTTATAATCAAAAAAAAAACATTTTTTTCTTCCTCTTTTCTTTTCTTTCTTTCATTCTACGGATTTGTTTTAAATCTTAGTTTACAACAAACAAAAACCAATAATATAACTCTAACGTCATTCGGTGTCATCATTAGTCATTCATTAATTAACTATCATCAGACTATAAGCACACCAGTCAATATAAATCTATCAGAAATGATAACTGGAAAAAGTTGTTGAAACTTGATATATTTTAATGTAACATTTCTTCGAAATCTGTTATGTTTATACTCTCGAAATACAGTCAAATGACATTTTTTTTTATTAAAGAACTAGACAACATTGGAAAGCTAATCATTGAAATATTCCATTTAATTCTAATTAATATTATATTATTTATCATGACATCATTTCATTTTTGATCCATGTCATGATTTCATTTCAATTTCCAAATTTGATAATTTAGCGACTTTTTTACGGTTTCATTCGAAGGTGACAAAAGCCATAAATATCAGCTCAATTTTATCATTCTTTTCATTCTTCCATAATATTCATGCATCACAAATTAAATTACATGCATTAAAATGATGAGGAAAACAAAACTGGAATTACTCTTTAAATTTGGACTTTAAGAAGAAAATATCACAATTATCAAATATCATTTGAATCATATAGCATTTGTTGACAGGAAAAAAAAAGAAAAAGGTAGCAAAGTTGTCAACAATTATTTAAATAATGATATTCGCACAATTTTGCTATCAAAATATGATCGATAACCTGATCAGTATATTATAATCAATGTTTGCTTCTTTTTTTCTTCTTTCATTCTCTTTTTCTTTTTTCGCCGAAAAGTCTTATCAAATTTTTGATCAAGATAACAGTAGGATTGATAATACAAATATATTTCAATGTTGCTTCAATCAACACTATTAATTAATTAATTTAATAAATATTAATTTTCGGATAATGAGAATGGCAAAAAAAAATTTTGTTGGAAATATTTGAGAGTATATTTATGCTTTGAACCATCTTTATTTACCAAAAATTTCACTAATCAAATATGTCGAAATAGTTTTCTCAAACTAATATCTTCTTTTTTTGCTTCTTAAATTTCATTAATTTCTACTAATTAAATTCCAATAATTTTGACTGAAATTCGAACTATTCATATTTTCAGTATTTAATCATTTCAATAAAATTTTGACAACATAAAATATCATTTGATAAATTTGCTTTTTTTTGCTTTTTCTTTTTTTGATCAAAAAAGATTATCACATGTTACGAATTATCACGGTGATTTATTTTTGTCACTAATTTTCAAAATATCTCCCTTTCCACAAAATTAGTTCCGTTTCGAAATTTCATTTGCTTATATATTTATTGATTTCTATTTATTAACTAATTTAATAAATTGATTTTTAATTTATTCATTCTTTTGAATGAATCTTTAACACTCACACATAAATACATATATATATA